GGCTCGCTACGGCTCGAATACAACGGCGGGACGCGGCCGCAGTGGCGGCGGTGGCGGCGGCCATTATAAAAATAACTGCTGATTGGACGCCCTACCAAGAAAAGTCGTAATCGCATCCTGAAATGCTTCTTCTCTCTCTTCCTTTCACTCCTTCCCTCCTTCTCCTCCCGCTCTCTCTCTCTCTCTCTCACTCTCCTTCCCCCCCGTTTTCTTTTCCCCTCGCCATTTCTTTCCACTTATCTTCGTATCTTCTTCCTCGTCTTCCCCCTTCGCCGCTAGATTCCTGTCGAACAATGAGACCCATTCCTCCCGTCGACTTCCACACCTTCTTCTCTTCTGGTATCGTCTCTCCTCCGAGGGAAGGAGAAGTATATACTCCAAGTGTATATCCGTACACTCGATTATCCGTTTCTCGATTCCATTCCTCGCTTTTTCTTTCTTCTTTTTTCGGAGGAACAAGAGGAGGGGGGCTCGAAAGGGGGTAAAATCTGTCTTCCCGCCTCCTCGAAGTTAAAGTCCATCGTTCTCGAATTTATTCCCTGGATATATAGAGCGAGCGAGAACGACGAGGAGCAGCGAAACCGGCCATTTTCCTCGAAGGGGAACAACGCGCGCGCGCGCGCGCGCGCGAGGAATGATTTGTGGAGGAGCACAGGGAGCGAAGAAAAAGCACGAGATACGTGTATGTACGCGGATGGGACGTCGAAGGGGGTTCGGAGTCCGCGAGGCTCCGTCCGTGGCTGCGAACGCGAGGAGGATAGGAGGCAGGGAAGAATCGGGCGCCATTTTGCGAGGCCAGGTTTTATCGCCGCGCCCTATATAGGAACATTATGCCTGGGTTGCCGGGTTGCGCGTATATCAACAATAATTGCAGGGCCAATAATAAAGCTGGAGGGACCACGCTCGATAGCCCGAAATTGCCGGTTCCCCTACCCCGGCCTGCAACGTTTTATTGCCTCCACTCTCGAGGCCGGGAATGGCGGCAGCCCCCTTCATCCTTCTCGATGGCGGATAAACGATCCACCGATACGATGCCACCGCCCGATCATCCGTCTCCTTTAACTTCGTACGGGAAGATATAGGAAATGCGGTCAAAGTATACACAAATCGGAAGAATATTCGCGAAAATTTCACTCGAGACGAGTTTTCTATTTCTCGATAACGAATAATGATTATTGTTGTTATTATTATTGTTAGGAAGGAATAGAGGGAGAGAGAGTTTTCTTCGTTTTGTTTTTTCTTCCTTTCTTTTTTTCATCGCTGGTAGGCCTTAGGTCTGTCAAAGGAAAACTCCGCTCGGTAGCGCGAGTTTCGCTGTTATTATTAGAGATACGTTGGGACGTTGTTGCCCGTTCTCGTCATTATTCTTTTTTGCCATCGCTCTCCGGGGTATGTCGGTCGTCCTCGCCTTCGTCTTCGTCGTCATCTGCGTCGTTGTTGCTGCTGTTTCGCAGCAAGGTGTTCCGTACGAAGAATCGTTGGCGAGCTCGTAAAGAGCCGCAAAGGAGAGCTCGCACGCGCGATAGTCACGAGTATTGCCCTTGTTAACGCCCCGTTAACTCGAACCTCTGGACAAACTCGTAAAATTTACCGGCTTCGAGCCGGTAAGACTACCACCACGCGATGTACAACGGTTGCCGGTGAATTTTCGCGTGACTTTAAATCGAGCTGGAATTATGTGTTTAGTGCGAACGTCGGCCGAGGCATCGCGGTGTCTTCTTCTCTCTCTCTCTCTCTCTCTCTCTTCCTTTTTCTTTCTTTCTCTCCGCTTCGCGTTTTTTCTTTCGAATCGAAAGGAAAAAAAAAAAAAAAAGAAAAGAAAAGAAAATTCGATTCGATCGCGGCCGGCCGTTGAACGCATTCGATCATTCTCGCCCGTGAACCCGTATATTTACGAGAACAACGAACGGATCAAGCGCAATACTCGTAAACTTGACGTTTACATACGCGTTGTCGAACCGCGTTGAGATAGTCGCAAAACTTGTTAACACCCCGTTAACACGGATCGAACAGCCTCGTAACAGCTCGACGACGGAATTGTCGAGTGGCCATTGACGGCGCTCGTTTCGTGCGACCAAATTTTCGTCGTGTTATCGTGGTATCGATTGTGACAACTTTCAACTATTTTAAATTAATTTCCTCGATTTATGAAAGCGGTAGTTATAGTTTTCCTTGGCGTCCGGCGCGATTCCACCGCGTTATCTTAAGTACCGATTAAAACTCGCGTAAAAGCTCGTAAAAGGCTCGTTCGTTGTTGGCGCGCGAGCGAGTTTGCGATAATTTCGATATAATTGCGATTTTGCACGCGGCCGGGTCGCGTGAAAAAATATTCGCCGGATTATCCACGCCGATCGATCCATTTCACCCGTTCATTCCGTTTGAACCATCCCTATTTCTCACCCTTCCCTCTCTCCTTTGAAACCCAACCATTTTTCTTTATTCTATTTATTTTATATATATATATATATACACACGCTCTAGCTCTACGATACACGACGAGTAAGGAGATCGTAAAAGCAGGCGTTCGCGTGATCGTTACGAATTCGTTACTGCTCTTGTTAACGCCCCCCTCGCTGCAAGCCTTGGACAAACGTCGTAAAGTTGGAGCGCGGTGCAACATTCCCGCGTGAACCATCGTCGAAAATGCGGCCGAAACCGATCACGTGACGGATAAACGACGACTTTGAAGCATCGAGTTCGCCTCGAGCTTGATACCTTTCCTTTCTTTTTTTTTTTTTTTTTTTTTTTTCTCTCTCGTTACTAGCCTCCCTCTTCTCTCTGTCTGTCTCTCTCTTTCTCCTCTTATTTATCTTCCCCCCATTTGCTTGGATAATTATCTTGGTTTCAGGAACTCCGATCAATCGGCTGCCGATCATGGCGAAATCGGTGCTGGATCTGTACGAATTGTATAATTTGGTGATAGCGAGGGGTGGCCTCGTTGACGTGATCAACAAGAAGCTTTGGCAGGAAATCATCAAAGGCCTACACTTACCATCGAGTATCACTTCCGCCGCGTTTACTCTGCGTACTCAGTAAGTAGATCGTTGAAGTTTCTCATCCGGGACCCATCACGTGCTACACCGCGCTCTACCGTCGCACCGGTACCGGTTGTCGGTGATTCGGCCGATACACGACGACCAATGCATCGTCGAGCAAAGCTCTGCCCTACCGTGAAATCTCTGGCACCGGGGATGACTCAATGGGACACCGGGCCCCTTCCCGGGATCGTTTTCGTTTCGCCGAAGGAAAGGATCGACGAAACGACGTCCATCTAGGTGACGCCATCATCCCCCCTTCTTTTTCCTCCCTTTTCTTTCTCTTCTTCTTCTTCTTCTTCTTCTTCTTCTTCTTCTTCTTCTTCTTCCTTCTCCTCTTCTCTTCTTTCTCCACGGACCGATCGATTCTTTTTTTTTTTCTTGCAAAGAAGATTTCTTTTTGCAAGATCGATCGAAGCGTGGATAAGAGAATGAAAAGCGGAAGGAAAATAAGTGGAGAAGGGAGACATCAAAGGGCGATACGTACGCCTTCCGTTGTTTGTGGGGAATGGTACTATCATCATTACCGCTGGCAAACAGCGGCGAGGAGGCACACTGTTTGTGTGCTTAAGATGGCGGCTTGTATCAGGAACGGCGTGTTCTCCGCGTAACAAAAATATACGGAACGCGGTCCACAAAAGAAGAGGCTCGACCAGGGGGGAGGGTGAGGGGGAGAGATCACAATACATTAACGCTCGTCGACCGTGTTGTTGCGAACGCTCGAAACCGTGGAAACGAGGCGGAGATCTCCCGGATGGGGAGAGAGAGAAAGAGAGAAAGAAAGAGAGAGAGAAGCGGCCGGCTCGTGCCGGTTAACCCCATTCGTCACCTGCCGGAGGAAGAAAGGAAGGAAGAAAGGAAGTCGACACGGCTTTCCTCCTCGCTCGTCGCCTTCGAACCTGATCGAAATAAAAATCTTTCTCTCTCTCTTTCTCTCTCTCTCTCTCTCAATGCGTTTTTCCTTTGTCGAGTGAATTCGAATCCAAAAGCCAAGACATTTCCACCTCGAGTTTTACGCGCCAACTTTCACACGTATACACGTTACACAAATTGATACAAATTTGATATCAACGGCTATTCTCGTCTCGAAGAATGAATTTTTGATCGAATCGTATCTCGCATATGAACGGCTGCTTCATCTCTCGCGAGGTTAATTTCGACGCGTGTTACGTAATACCGTGGCCGCCTTAATTAAAAATTAATCGTCTTCTAAATATTATTCGGCAAAAAATGGATCCGCTGCGAAGTAGAAATCTCGTAAGAGGAAAAAATGCGGGAACAGATGGGGGAAGATGTCCGCGAAGCGGAGCGCGACGCGCGTTGGAGGCCCGAAACTGTGAATTACACGGGCGCGATGCTCTCTCTCTCTCTCTCTCTCTCTCCCTCCCCCCTCCCCCTCGAATCACTCGTGAAAATAACCCTGGAACGGGCGGTGCGTGACGCGCGACGGAACGTCGGGACGCCGGCGCATCCATCATTCCGGCAACCGGTTATCCCCAGGCGGAGGGACAGGGACAGACGGAGGAAACGAAATTGTAAAGGGAGACGGCGGCTACCAGAGAGTGTATCGCGGTGCCTACACGACTATATCGAGCCACGCGCCTTCAACGTGTAATTATTTATACCGCGAGGGAGGCGCGCGCGCGCGCGCGCCACAGGGATCGACTCCTCTTCCATTGTGCCCATTTCAACACTCCGCGTTTCATCTCCGACAAATTTGAGGCAAGCAACGAAATAAACACTCCCTCGGGACAATTCGATATTTTTGCAACGTGTTACAAGTTGTTAGAATCTCGAGAGAGAGAGTCAACAAGGAATGAAACTCGTGCCAACACGCGAAATGCTCATTTCTCGCGTCTTTGAAATTAATCGTTGTCGATTCTAATGGAAATTTCTGTGGAAATGAACGAGAGAGAGAGAGAGAGAGGAAAGAGCGAAATTTTGAATCGAATCGAGAGGAAAGAGGGATTTATAATGGGTGGAAGCACGCGCAGTCGAAAGAGGAACTATTACGGGGTTATACACGCGGAGTGGTTGCTGCACGCACGAGACACCGAGTTTTCGAGGTTCGTCGTCGAGGGAGAACGGGTGTGGAAAGAATGAGAACAAGAAGACAAAGAAGCGAAGGAGAAGGAGGAGGAGGAGGAGGAGGAGAGAACCGGGCCGAAGGGTTAGTTCGGCCGCAGTCTGGCAGACAATCGTAAAAATCGAACGATCCCTACGCGAATTATAGGCCGCGGTTCTCGCAATATGTCTATCCACGAAAGTGTGTGCGAGCGTCAGTCGATCTGCTGCCACCTTTCGCAACGGCCGAACCTTTCTTTCTTTCTTTCTTTCTTTCTTTCTTTCTTTCTTTCTTTCGTCTACCTTCGATAAAATAAAAATATTTACGAATCTCTCGGTTCTCTTTCGCACCCCTCTGCCAATTCGTTCTCTCATGCTCGTTTAAAAGCGTCGCGATATCTTTCTTTCTTCTTTCTTTCCATCCCGAGATAGAAATTCCAAGCAAATTTTTCCTGTTATTTTTCATTTCTCACGTGTCACGGTATATATATATATATATATATATATAATTTCGAGAGACCAGTTTTCGGTAAACAACAAAGTTAGCGTTGTTTATGAACCGTTTCCAACAACGATTCATCTGTCGCGAACGACGACATCGTTCAGGTGCAATTAGCGGGGCCTGGTCGAGCATTAAACTCGACCGAGCGAGGCACGCTCTAGACGCGGGATTAAATTAAGCGGCGCAACGCGCGACGTGCGCACGTACACGAGTACACTCGGATCTGCCTTGCCAATTTCGCGTTCGG